GTCGTGCATTCTTTCCAAAAATCGGGACTTTTTTAAAACGCCACGGGACGCAGGACAAATTGTTAAAAATTGGGACTGCCCCGCCAAAAGCGGTCACCTTACCCTAAAGGGCAGAGTAGAATTGCCCTGCACTTATGCAAGACTGTAACTCTAGTGGAATAGGAAGGAGCTGGCTGGTAGTTTCAAACTGCTGAATTCAAATTGCGACCCACAGCCCAATATGTAATCACGATGCCACCAGGGATCCTCTATAAAGATTACAGCCTTGGAAATCCTATGAGGCAGTTCAACCCTGTCTCGTAGCGTCATTATGAATTAGAATCAACTAGACAGCAGCAGGATGGGTTTTTGTTTATGTATTCTTGTGCTGGTCAAGTAAAATGTTACTAAAAATTGAACCTAAGAAACAGAAGTCAGCACAGTCTAGCATTCATGGTTCTCAACTGTCAAAGTAACAATTCACCATGCTCTGGCTACTCCTAAAAGCATCCCAGTGCTTTATTACAGTGACCACTATGTCTCTTTGTCCAGGTTTTCAAAAGAAGGAACAATCTGACCAAAACCACTGTAGTTTTTGTTTTGTTCAATCATTACCAAAAGCATCATTAAAGAAGGCATTAAGTAATTCCAAAATAATCTCTAACTAGAAATTCACCAGATACCATGGCAAAATAAAACTAAATCAACTTCAATTTAAACGCAGCTCCTTAGGCATGTTACTTAACTTGCTGATCAATGAGGAGGAAAACTCTACCTAGTGGCTATTTGCTTATGATTGACGGTTGTTATAGTTAATATAAAAGAGCTAAAGTAGGGGGCTAACATGACTGAATGCCTACTACGGGGGCAGGGACATCACCAAATACTGCCATTTGTAACAGTTCAACAGTCATTAAACATATTCCAAGTTGCTTATCTTGATACATTTTAATATTTTAGTGCTTATTGGTCATGAGGAAAATGCTAGTCCTTGTAGTATTCAAGATAGATAGATATATAGATATTTACTGATGAGAAATGTGAAGTCCGAAGATGTTAGATAACATCAACAAGCTTATAAGATCCCTCAAAAAAAACCAAAAACAAGCTCACTGCCATAGAATCAATTCTGAATCACAGTGGCCCTACAGGACTCAGAAAAACTGCTCCCCTTGAGCTTCCATGCTGGTAAATCTTAACAGAAGCTGAAAGCCTTATCTTTCTCCTACTGAACAGCTGGTGGGATCGAACTGCTGACACTGTGGTTAGCAGCTCGGCATGCAACCCACTACACTATGACTGTAATCTATTTATAGTAAAAACAGCCTGTTTCACTTACCTACTGTTGCATACCATTTTACAATCAAGTATTTGAATACTATAGCAAGCACTAGGAAACAGGAAGGAGTCCTAGTGAGGCAATGTGAGGTTTTGGGCTGCTAATAGAAAGGTCAGCAGTTCAAACCACCAGATTCTAAGCAGGAGAAAGACAAAACTGTCTGCTCCCAGGGTTTAGTCTTGGGAACTTCACATAAGGCCATTATGAGTCAGAAGCAACCTGATGGGAAGTGGGTTTTTCTTAAGAGAACAGAGTGACTAAAATGGACACAATCCCCTTCCCTCACGGATTTAGCAACCGAATAGAAAAGAGCAATATTTAACAGTAAAGCATGCATGTAATTTTTACATGCTATAAAAAAACATGTAAATATGTCTAATACAGTAATAATAATGATAACAGCTAACTCACACAACAGACAGGTACTACTTTATTTTACATGTATTTTACTCTTTTATTCTTCACAACTTTATAGAGTAGGTATTATTAGTATCTCATTTTATAAATAAGGAGTTTAAGGAAAAAACAGCTTAAGAGAATTGCCCCCAAAATGGACCAGGTTGAGGACCAAATAAGTGACATGTAAGCCAAAGCAGAAAAAGCGGAGGGGGTGGGGGAAGCACAGGAATTAGGCAAACAAGGGAGAATGGGAAGGTTAGAAGGAAGTTTCAGGGCAAAGGAGCTCTCTATGAAATCGCCAGGTTAAAAACAGGATAAAAGCTCTTACAAAAGCAAGGGGTGTGTACACACACTTTATAGACACCTTTCTCCCAACAACTCCCCAGCCATCCACAGCTTTTTTCCTCCCTGTTCTTGAAGGACTTCATTGAAATCAAACAGCAATAACTACATTTGCAGAGGAGTCTATACTGGGAACAGTCAGCAACTCTCAGCTAGTCAGTCACAGGGCTTTTGTGACTAGATACAATAGGAAACTGCAGGGAAAACAAGTTCAGTGTTTCCATTCCTAAGTAAAGGGACACCACACTTTAACCTGTAAAAACAAACAAAACTCTCTATGCATGAAAAATAAATTATAAGCAACTCAATAAAAAAATAGCCAAAGAACTTACACGGACACTTCATAAAAGAGGATATTCAAATGGCAAACAAGCACATGAAAAGATGTTCATTTCATTAGCCATTAAACCAAAACTAAACCCATTTCCATTAAGTCAATTCCAACTCACTGAAATCCTATATGGGGATGTTCCAGAAGCTGTAAATCTTTATTAGAGCAGATAGTCTCATCCTTCTCCTGTGGAGTGGTTCTTGGGTTTAAACAGCTAGCCTTTCAGTTAGCAGTACAATGCTTATCTAAAAGAAACACTAAAAAAGACTCAAACTCACTGCCACGAAACTGATTCCAACTCATAGCAACCCTTATAGGACAGAGAGAGCTGCTCCTGTGGGTTTCTGAGACTGTAACTCTTCACAGGAGTAGAAAACCTCATCTTTCTCCAGAGAAGTGGCTGGTGGTTTCAAACTGTAGTCAAACACGAAACCACCACGTACACCACTAGGCACCATTAGGGCTCCTTAAAATGAGCATCCATAGCCTGAATAGGGACTGAATTTGCAACATTGGGATTACTAACATTACAATTTAACCAACTGAACTAACTGGTCACCCGACCATTAGCCTTTAGGGAAATGCGTATCAAAACCACAATGAGATCCTATCTCACCCACATTAAAATAGCAATGATCAAAAACATGGAAATCAATGATGTTGGAAAGGTTATGGAAAAACTGGAACCCTCCTTCACTGCTGGTGGGAATGCAAAACGGTACCGTCACTGTGTAAAGCAGTTTGGTGGTTCTTCAAAATTTGATTATAAATCTGCCATGTGACCCAACAAACCCAATCTAGGCATTCCAGAAAACAGGAAGCGGAATACACCAATGTTTATTGTAGAATTTTCACAATAGCCAAAAAGTGAAAACGACTTAAATGTCCATCAAGAAAGAGATGAATATATAAACAAGCCACAATGGAATATTACTTAGCCGTAAAGAGAAATGAAGTCACGCATGACTTAGCCTGAAAATATTAAGCTGAGTGAAATGTCAATCTCCAATGGACAAATAGGGTATGAGCTCACTAATATGAAATAAGAAAATACACAGAAACCAAAAATAATTAGTGGTTATCAAGATGGAAGGAGGGAATACTGCTCTGTTCCTCTCAAAAAAGAAAGCATTTTTAATGGTTCAGCATTGTTCTACAAATCAACTTAGAAAGAACTGACAACTTTGATGATGAGTATTAAACAAAAAGATAGCTTGTTTTTCCTTTTATTCTAGTAAGCTTTATTTTTTTCCCTTAGACAAAGTTCCCCATATATTCGTTTTGTTAATAGACACTGTTATAATTGCTAGGTAAAATGAGCTGTTCCCTACCCACATGGCATCCTGTGTGTTGCAAGCAGTGGCTACTAGCTTAAAATGGTGCAATGAGTAACATTACTTGATATAGTTCTTCTTTCCATACTCTCTGTAATGTCCACCAAATAACTGCACGGGCA